CCGCGGAGCAGCTGGTAGTTTCGAACCACTGACCTTAAGGTTTGCAGCCCGATTCGTAACCACTACGCTACCAGAGCTCTTAGGTTTAGTGACAAGTTTTTAGATACAACACAAAATGCATGACCCAAGAAAGCAAAACTAATTAGTTGGATTTTATTAAAATGAAAAAGTTCTTGTGTGTGAAAGACACTGTCAAGAAAGTGAAAAGAAATACCACATACGGAGAGAATATATTCGTAAAACACTTCATTGATACCTGATAAAAAGATTTGCATCCATAATAGACAAAAAACAGGCTTAAAACTCAACACTGAGGAAACACATTTTTTTAAATACTCAAAAATCTGGACAGAAACCTCACAAAAGAAGACATTATTGTTATTAAGTGCCATCAAGTCAGTTCTGACCCATAGCGACCCTGTATAGGGTTTCTGAGGAACAGCTGGTGAGCTTGAACCACCAACCTTGCTGTTCAAACAACTGTGCAGTCTGGTGCATTAACCCACAGCGCCATACCAGGACTCCATAGAGATGGTAAATATACATGTGAAAAGATATTCTCTGCATCATATATCATGATTGCCATTGGTGCCCTCAAATTGGCTCTAACTGAAGGGTAGCAGAATGAAACACTGCTCTGTTCTGTGCCAGCTGAATGATCACTGGTAATCAATGACACAATGTTCTGTTGTACAGGTATTTTACTAACGAATTTTCTGAAGTGGGGATCACGATGGCTTAGGGTATGCATTCAGCTGTGAACCACAAAGTCTGCGGTTTGACCCCTTAGCATGCTGGGGGAGAAGTATGAGGTCGCTATGAGTTGAAGCTGACTCCACAGCCCTCAACAGCAACTTTTGGACTTAGATCACCAGATGTTCCTGCCCAGTCTTAATTTGGAGGCTTTCCTGAAAGTCGTGTGCCTTGGGTGACCTGCTGAGACTTGAAATACCAGTGGCATATAGCATCCAGCATCACAGAAACATGCGAGTCTCCACAATCTGACAGGAGCCCAAGCAATTTATGGAAAAAATTTTCCATTCAAATAAAAAAAAAAGAAAGAAAAAACAAGCCCTTTGCTGTAAGAGATGATGCCAACTAAAGTGACCCTATAGTAGAATCGCTGTGAGTCGGAACTGATTCGACAGCACTTAACAACAACATAGAAAAATTTAGATTTAATCGGCTGTAAATCTTTATGGAAACACATTGCGACATCTTACTCCTGAAGAGTGGCTAGTAGGTTGGAACCACCAACCTTTCAGTTTTCAGCCTAGCACTTAACCACTGTACCACCAGGGTTTTCAATGGCATTGTTTTTTAGTGCCCTCCAGCTGGTTTGTGATTCAGGGATTGGATGGTGGGTTTGAACTGCTGGCCTTCTCATTCAAAATGCAGTGTTTATCCTATAGCGCACCAGGTCTTCATTGTTGTTGTTAAGCGCTCTTGAGTCATTCCAACTCATAGTGACCCTGTGTAGGGTTTCCAAGGAGCGGCTGGTGAGCCTGAACCACCAACCCTTGTGGTTCAAACCTACCTAGCAGTCCAGTACATTAACCCGCAGTACCACACCAGGACTCTGGAATTTGGTTAGGGAATTACAAAATAAAAAAATGAAATATCATCAGTTACTTATCAAAATGGCTAAAATATAAAATGGTGGCCCCGCATCAAATGCTGATGATGTTATGGAGCAACAGGAATTCCCATTCATTGCTGGTGGGCTTGAAAAATGCAAGACAATCCGGCAGCTTATTACACAGCTAGACAGACATAGGCTTACCATACTATGCCAAGGGATTTCAAAACAATTCCGCATAAAAACTGGCACCTGAATGTTTGCAGCTGCCGTTGTTAAATGCCATTGAGTCAGATCCGACTCATAGCGAGCCTGTAAAGGGCTTCCGAAGAGCAGCTGGTGAGTTTGAACCACCAGCCTTGTGGTTCAACTGACCTTTTCAGCCAGTGCTTATCCTACAGTGCCACACCAGGACTCCATGAATGTTTATAGCAACTTCATAATTGCAAAAAGTTGGAGGCAACAAAATTGTCCTTCAGTGGTGAATAGGTGAAGTGGTGGAAAATCTAAACCAAAATCCAATGCCCTGAGGTTGATTCCGACTCATAACGACCCCAGAGGACAGAGCAGAATTATATCATAGGCTATTTTAGGCTTTGATCTAATTACAGAAGCAAAGTGACAGGTCTTTTATCACATGGAGCCGATGGTGGGCTCCAGCCACCAACTTTTTAGTTAGCAGCTGAATGCTAAGCCGTTGCACTTGTAGTACTCCTTGGGCAGAGATTAGGAATCAGGATATATGGGGTAAGACTTCATTGTTTTTATTTTTTCTAGTATTGATTCCTGTAGGATCAGTTCTTGACCACAAGGTAGGTTTGGACCACAAGGTTGGCGGTTCAAACTCACCAGCCACTCTTCAGAAACCCTATATAGAGTTGCTAGGAGTTGGAACTGACTCAATGGCACTGAACAATTACAGCAACAATTGTTGATTAACGACTTCTGTTGTAGCACTGTAGGACAGTCATTGAACTGCGAACCACAAGGTCGGCAGAAATACTATATAGGGTCATTATGAGTCAGAACCGACTCAACAGCGCTTAGCAACAACAAAAGTGTTGATTTTAAATATATATATATGTTGTTGTTGTTAAGTGCCGTCGAGTCGGTTCCGACCCATAGCGACCCTGTACAGGGTTTCCGAGGGTGTAAATCCTTACGGGAGTAGAAAGCCTCATCTTTCTCCCGCGGAGCGGCTGGTAGTTTCGAACCACTGACCTTAAGGTTCGCAGCCCGATTCGTAACCACTACTCTACCAGAGCTCCTATATAGGTATGCATTTGATGAATAAAATTTTTCTGTAAACAAAAAGGTACTTCACAGGCCATCAAAGATACAACTATTAGTCTCTTCCAGTCTTAAGCAAAAGAGAATGAAGGAAAGCAAAGATTCAATGAAGAAACTACTCCCAGGAAACTAGCCCACACAAACCACAGACTCATGTAGTCTGAGACCATAAGAAATCGATGCTTCCAGCTACCAGTACCAACTCTTCTAATCAGGGACTCAATAGTAGATCCTGGGTAGAATGGGAAAAAAATGTAGAACAAAACTCATATTCCTTAAAAAGACCAGACTTCCTGGACTGATAGAGACTAGAGGAACCCTCAAGAATGTTGCCCTAAGATATTTTTAACTTAGAAGGAATGAAAGCAACTCCTGGCGATCTCCTTTCAGCCCAATACAAGATTGGCTTATAAAATAAGCAATAACACCCATGAGGGCTGAGTCCTACAGTAGCCCTGGAGGATCAGCACTGACTGGCCAGCACTTTAAACCCTCTAGCCACTCCTCAGAAACCCTGTACAGGTTTACTGTGAGTCAGAACCAACTCCACAGCACTAAACAACAACAACCCAGGAGGAATGTGATTCCATAAACAGTTGTGTGTATGAGAACTAATGGTCAACATTGACCTTGAAGCTAAGGTGAGAAAGCAGGGAGGGGAAGGGAAGCTAGGTCAATGGAAACAGAACAAACAGAATGGAAATAATAAGAATGCTGACACATAGTGAAAATTGTAGCCCATGTCATGCAGCAGTTTATACCAACATTGTTAAATGGGAACCTGATTTGCTGTGAAAGCTTTTACTTAAAACACAAAACATCCCCCAAAATAGAAAGGTACACTCCATAGGACAGGGAAATACGTTAGTCTGGTTTTAGAGGAGCTGCAGTGAATAATTTGTTTTTAGCTAATTGATCTACTAATGAACCCAGGTATAATGAACCTTTACTTAGACTAATACGTGTCCATCCCACATCAGCAGTGTGATCTGGCATGCCACAAAGCACCATTGTCCATGGTGTTGAGAAATGTTGTCGTAAGAGCATAGACAAATAATTTTATTATAGACTGTTTATTCCCAGATCATAGTTCCACAGAGTCTTAAAGGGTTCCAGGAAATATCATTTCATGTAAGCCACAGCAACAGGATATGGTGAAAATATACCTTGGCAAGTAACCTAACTTCTAAGCTTTTGTCTACATCTAGAACATAGGAGGAATACTCTCTCATAAGATGTTTGTGAAGATCATAATAAATGTCAAATGTTTAAAGAGTGCTTGGTATATACTGGTATTCAGTGTTTTTGAAATAACGATAATAATAGTTATCGTAGTAATATTGTTCCCTATGACTGTGGACTTTTAATAGTTATTTGCCATATGGCCTTTCATTCTCTTAGTCCTTGATATTTACAGTTGGTTTTTAGGCAGCATACTGGGCAAACAGCTAATGATAACAATAAATCAGTAAAGGAGTCCCGTGGGCTGATGAAGCAGTGTTGGTAGGCCTGGCAGCACAGGCCATAGTGTGGGAAGGGAAGGTTTCAACTGTGTCCGTGACTTCTATATCCTTAATGCTGTTATTGAATTTGTTCTCAGGCGTAATTCAGGTGGTTTTGACTATGGAAGGAATGGGTCCAAGGTACCTTCGGCTGATGTTCGAGAATTCACATCAAGGGCTTTGGCGGGATTGTTCATGGGACCGTAGCCAGAGGACATAATAGTTTTGTAGATTAAGCATTTTTATAAAACTCCAACAATCAAAAGGTCATAATTTGTTGTAATGATGCTGTAATTAAGTTGTGGTAAATGATAGCATTTGTACATTTTATAACCAGAATTGATTCATAAAATGAGCACAGTCCCAGCAGTTTATGTTAACATAATTAAATGGAAATGTAATTCTAACTCAGTTTGCTTATTAAATTGAAAATTACTGGGTTATGAGCGCTCTTACATTTCTGTCAAAATTCGTGTAAGTCTAGAATTACATGAAATATCCATTAAAATAAAGCATATTTAAGGCTGTATCGCTGGTAAAGAATAAATTTCTTAAAGCATGTGCAGACTGGTCATGTGATAGCACTCGCTCTTAGTTTCTTGCTAACTCCTGATCTCTTTCCTCTGCAGCCATTGGTTTAGCCCTGGGGCTAGGACAGAGCATGGCCAGGTAAGAAACTATCTAATCCAAAAGGAAGTCACTCAGGTTCTTTCAAATAATTAACTCGTCCCCTTCAGGGCACTAGGTCAGCTTTATAAGAAAGGATATAAATCCCCAGCTTATTTTTAAAGGAGTTAATTGTACCAGTACTTAGTACACTGACTAAGTGAACAGGCCTCGATAAGCATCAGAGTTCTGCATTACGTTCACTGTGCTCAGCCATGCACTGGACCTCCATGGGGATGTGCTGGAACACACTTGTTTGCCAGACTTCAGCATTAAGATAATAAAGTTAAGGTATCACAATAGTATATATGCTTACGAAATTTATTTGTAATAACTCTAAGGTTAGCCAGCAAGAGAATGTGTTTTTCTTTAAAGTTTGTTGCTCTTGTTGCTGTGGATTCAATTCCAATTTATTGGGTTCCTGAGGAATGACTGGTGGGTTTGAATCCCCCTTCTTGAAGTTTGTAGATCAGTGCAGAAGAAGGTAATTGTTTTATTTACAGGTTTACAGTATATTTCTAAATCAGTTGCTTTTGTAAAAATCTCTCAGTAGCATGCATGTCTGGTATCACAGTGATTGCAGTTAACTTGACATGTAAAATTAGTAGACTAGTTTTCCTCTACTTAACTATGCTGGTTTTCTTCCTGAAGCGTGGTAATGTCATTTAGGGTTTATATTTGTGATAAGTTGTAAAGTATATATATTTTACAGAAAGTTGGTGTCATTCAAATTTTTCTCTTTTCTCTCATTATTTATTGTGAAAGTTATTTTTCAGTCAAAATTATGATACATAAGGAAGTTCACCTTTAAAACGTTTGGGAATGATAAATCCCAAACCTGAGATTTGATTTCTCAGGGGTTCAGGGAGAGAGGTACAGACACGGGGCTTTCTAGGTAATTAGCTACACTATAATATTACTGGTGCTTGATTTCTTAAGCCGGTGGCTTATTCACAGTTGGGATATCATAGTTCCTTTTACTTACAAAACGAAGATGCCAAGTACTTCATTATAAATCATACTTCCTAGCGCCCGTGACAAATACAAAGCAAAATATCTTGTGATGAGTTTTAATGATTTTCTAATAAATGTACCTTTTTCCATGGTAACAATTTGCCTCTTGAAAGATATTTCTCACATTAATAATGGAATATGTATCACTATTTATATGTGTTTAGAAGAGAAATTATTTCTACGTTGTTTCTCTTATTTATTACAAATGGATTGAAAAACTAAAACTTTGTTCTTTCCTATAAAACTCATACCCTTCTACATACAGTGCTGAGCTATATTATCTATGATACAACTTTACTTCTAGTACCAAGTTATATCTGGTATCATAGTGGTTACGATTCGGGCTGCTAACCTCAGAGTCAGCATTTTTAAACTACCAGCTGTTCCGCGGGAGAAAGATGAGGCGTTCTGCTCCTGTAAAGATTTATAGCCTCGGAAACCTTGTATAGGGTCACTATGAGTCGGAACCGACTCCATGGTACTTAACAACAATAACAACCAGGTTATATCAGGATATATTTTATATATTAAAAAAAAATTTTATAAAGCTAATTTCCAATCCTTCAGAATTTGAGAATTACTGAAATGACATTATAAATTTGATTTTTAGATTACAGTATAGCTGCTTATTTCCATCCAAGCTTATTTCTGAAGCTAGCTAAAGATTAATAACTTACATCACAGTGCTGAGTTGCTAGCTGAAAGGTTGTCAGTTCAAACCCATCTGCCACTCAAGAGCAGGAAACTGTGGCAGTCTACTTCAATAAAGATGTGCGGCCTCAGAAACCCTATGAGGCAGTTCTGCTCTGTCGTAAAGCATCGCTATGAGTCAGAATTGACTTGACAGCACTGGGTTTGATTTTGTTGGTTTTACTAAAAATATGGCAGCTCAGATGTTATTTTGTCTGGACAGGTTATTAAATAGTATAAATATATGTGTACTGTATGCAAATATACAACATAGATTTCATATTTTGAGGGATAATTTTTAGTTCAACTTAGACATAATTACAGGTCTACTAGAGCCAAAAATATGACCGTGAACATATTCCACCTGAATTTAGAGATCATCTCAAGAACAGATTTAATGTATTAGACACGAGTGACCCAAGACCAGAAGAGTTGTGTGATGACATCAAGAACAGCATACAGGAAGAAAGCAAAAAGTCATTAAGAAGATAAGAAAGAAGGATAAGACCAAAATGGATGTCAGAAGAGACTCTGAAACTTGCTCTCCAGTGTAAAGATGCTAAAGCAAATGGAAGAAATGAGGAGGTGAAAGACCTGAACAGAAATTTCAAACGGCAGCTTGAGAAAAGACCTGGAATTAGAAAACCAAAAGGGAAGAGCATGCTCAGCATTTCTTAAGCAGAAAGAGCTGAAGAAAAAAAATTCAAACCTCAACTTAACAATGTTGAAGGATTTTGTGAACAAAATATCAAACGATGCAGAAAGCATCCAAATAACATGGAAGGAATACACAGAGCCACAGTACCAAAAAGAAATGGTTGGTGTTGAGCCATTTTAAGAAGTAGCATATGATCAAGAGCTATTGGTACTGATAAGATCAAGAACCAGTGGTACTCATGCTGCACTGGGGGCACTCATCCATACCCAAAATTTGGAAGACAGCTACCTAGCCATCTGATTGGAAGAGATCCATATTTGAACCCTTTCCAAAGAGAGGTACCCAATGGAATGAGAAAATCATTGAACAATATTATTAATATCTTACGTTGTCGGGGTCTAACCTCGACATAGTTGTCACGAGTTTTTGGTTCACGAGGAGGGGAGATCCAGCGGCGATAGGGATAGCGAAAGAATACACAGACAAACAGAAGAAGGGAGACAATGAGGCACCCCAAAGCCAGGGTGGATACATCACTGGTGGGCAGGCTTGGGACTACAGGCA